CCACTTGGGGCCAACAGAGAGGCCTTTCCTAATTCACACGAATCTCCTGTGGCTTTAAGAAAGACCTCTGTGTATTAACTTGGGTTAATATGCTGTTGCCTTTAAGGTCTCCTCCTCCTCTTTCAGGAGCCCTTCCTGCTCCTCCTCCTCCTCCTCCTCCTCCTCCTCCTCCTCCTCCTCCTCCTCCTCCTCCTCTTTTTTCTTCTTCTTTTCCCCTGGACTTGTCCTCATACTCCAGGCTTTGCTACAGTCTATGTTTTTCCTTACACACCAGTCATCTCCTTGGAATTGACTTATGTAAGGTCTCCCACTTCATGGAGACTTTGTCAAGGAAGGGACCATGTCACTCTTATGCACTGCTGTGCCTGCTACCCCAAGCAAGAGCCTGTCACATACCATGTTGCCTGTGAGCATGCCCTGCACTAGCATACTCCAAACAAGCCTGCAACTGCAGGAAAGACCAGAAGTGGAGCCACTGCCTATTCCTGCACAGTCTTCAAAGGACCATACTGTCCATCACTATGCAGGAAAAACACTTACATTCTTCCAGAGTAGAGTTTTCGTGCTGCAGCTGTCATTCCCCGGGTCGAGCCTCTGAATGCAGGTTTTATTGTGAGCATGGCTTTTTCCCATTCCTTTCTTTCCTTTAATTTTCTGTGTATGAGTGTTCTGCGGCTGCCTGGTGCTTTCACAGACCAGAAGATGTTATTGGATCTCTTGGAATGGAGTTAAAGAGGTTGTGAACCAGAAGAGCAAAGTTTACTACATGAAAAACAAAAGTCACATCTATACACACCTATAGGTGGTGAAAGAAGAGTTCATCACTTTTACATGTTAGGGGTAAATTGAGAAAGAAGGGATTGTGTGGGGTGGTTAGGATTGAAACTGGAAACTCCATCAAGCCCTGGTCTAAGGAACAAAACTGAGTAAGAAGCACTGTAGACAGTTGGAGAAGGGAAACTCTTCACCCTGGGGAATAAAGAGCTCACTCTGAGGTGCAGCCCCTCAGCAATAACTTAAAATGACATACTGCATCTTACCAAGAAGGTCCCACATGCTGCCAGCCCAGAGGAGCAGCTGTACTAGTTCCATTTAAGAAGTCTTAAGTGGAGCCTCTATTTTTTTATGGTTTCCAACAAATTTCTGAACACTGCTTGACTTCATTATCCTTCCAAGAAGCAGGTACAGAATGGGAAAAGGTTTTTTTTTTAAAAAACCAACTACACATCTGAAAGAGGGTTGTATTAGTCAAGGTACTCTAACAGAACTTAGAGAATGAGCATATATACATAGAAAGGGTATTTGTTAGAATGACTTACAGGATTTGGTCCAGCTAATCCAACAATGGCTGCCTATGAACATAAGGTTCAAGAATCTGGCAATTGCTCTTATTCCACAAGGATGGACACCTCAGCTTGTCTTCAGTACATGTTGGAATCCCAAAGAAGTTCTAATGCCAGAGAGTATGGGAAGGCCTTGCTGGCTGGGAGAGGTTACAGTCTCTCTGGCCTGGCAGCTCCCTCCCCAGAAAAATTTCCTTCCTCTACCTGCCCTTATCTGGAGAATGTCCCTGGGCCTGCAGGTCTGACATTATCTGAAAGCTGTCTCTAAACCAGATGCCTGAGTTATCTTTAGCTTGACCCTTGGCAGAGGCCCTGCTAAGAAGACTTGTCTAGGAGCTCTGTTGTAGGACCCAAGTGCCGCATAGGAAGCCTTGTGATAGGAGTGCACCACTTCATGCAAATCAGGGTTTGTCCCCAGGCTCCCTAATCCTATATTTTCCTTATACTCTGGAATGAAGTTGAGTTGATTCATTGAAGTCTGTCTCTCTGGGGGGCTGTCTCCATCATACCCACAGTCATCCTAACCCTGTTTCCTGCTTCTGCTCCCTCTGCCCTCATGGACCAATGAAGCCAAGGATCCCAGGGAAGAAGCAGAACCACAAGTGAGGAGGACTTGCTATGGAGGGCTTCCTTCTTTCATGTCTTGTATGTAGGCTGCCAGCAGAACATGTGGTCCAGATTAAAGGTAGATCATTCTACCTCAAAAGATCTGGATTAAAAATTTATCTTCCCACTTTAAAGATTCAGATTACAAGTGGGTCTTCCCACTTCAATTGATTAAGAAAAAATAGTCCTTCACAGTTGTGTCTAGTCATTTGGGATTTTGTTAATTCCAGACGTAATCAAATTGACAACCAAGAATAGCTATCACAAGGGTTAATCTCTAATATATCTATCTATATATCTATATCTATCTATCTATATCTATATCTATCTATCTATCTATATACATATATATACATATATATATATATATATATACTCAAAACTGGAAATCAAGAAAACAAATAACACAATTTAAAAATGGGGTACAGATATAAAAAAGGGAGGAAACATAAATGACTGAGAAGCACTAAAAAAATACTCAAAATCCTTAGTCACCACGAAAATGAAAATCAAAACTACTTGAGACTTCATCTGATACCAGTCAGAACAGCCAAGATCAATAAAACAAGTAACAACTCATGCTGGTGAGAATGTAGAGCAATGGGAACACTCATCCATTCTTGGTGGGAAATTGTACAAAATTGTACAACCACTATAGAAATCAGTGTAGCGGTTCCTGAGGAAGTTCAGAATTGATCTACCTCAAGATCCAGCTATACAGCTCTTGGGCATATACCCAAAGGATACTTCATCCTATTACAGAAACACTGACTTAACCATATTTATTGCTGCTCTATTCATAATAGCCAGAAATTGGAAACAACCTCAATGTTTTTCATGAAAGAATGGATAAAGAAAATGTGGTATATTTACACAATAGAACATTACTTGGCTGTTATAAAAATTGCATCATGAAATTTGCAGATAAGTGGATGGAGTTAGAAAAAAAATCATCCTGAGTGAGATAACCCAGAGCTCAAAGAGACAAATATAGTATATATTCACTTATATGTGGATGTTATCTGTTAAGTCTTCAATAAGCAGTCTATAATCCATATAAGCACAAGAGTTAGGTACAGAATAAGGGACTGGGGGGCACTGGATCACTCTAAGAAAGGGAAATATACTAGATGGATGGGGGAGGCTACAACAGGAGAATCAAATGGGAAGGGAGAAGGTAAGGTTAGAAAGGGAATATGTGGAAGAACAGCTAAAACTAATGGCCATTTGAGGGGCTGTATGGAAATCTAATACAGTAGAAGCTTCCTAAATTATATACAAATATGAAGGTTATCTAATTTGAATTGTTTAATAACAGGGGGAACAGAGTCCTAACTGGACATCTCTCATCACCAAATGAAACCTCTAGTGTCAGGAATGAGTTACACGTAATCAAGTTTTTGGCCAAAGGGGTCCCATGGCCAGACAACCTAGGCTTATGCTAAGGCTATGGGCTGCTCTTCACAAACAGATAATAAGCCACAATTGCTGAAGACAACACCTACACAACTCATTCAATATAGAGAAGTTGAGCTGGTGCTTACATAGAGCCTTCACACCTACTGACTAATGTTCACAGTACTGGAAGGTACTCAGCATACTACCAAAGGAAAAGGTAAACACCAATTCAGCTACAAATTCTTCAATCTGCAATGGTGATCTGCATATACGATGTGGCACAAATCTTGTAAGATTAATTAACCAATACCTGATTGGATTTAAGATTCACTTGAATGTCCAAGAACCCTTGATTAGATAGGCCAGGGACCTAGGGCAAACCAATTACTATTATTTTGCTAAAGGAACATAGCAATAAAATGACTCCTAATGGCATTCTGTACTCATAGAACAGTGCCTTGCTCAGTCATCATCAAAGAAGTTTCTTCTTGCAGTAGATAGAAATAAATGCAGACACCCACAGATGGACAAAGTGCAGAGAGTGAGAAACCCTGAAACACTCAGTCTTAAGTGAGACATCACCATCAATTTCCAACCCTCACAGCTCAGGGAAACCTGAGGAAGAAGAGGAGGAAAGAGTGGAAGAGCCAGAGGGGACAGAGACTACCAAGGAAAGAAAGGTCTTCTAAACACAGCAGGACCAATGCACATATAAAGTCACAGAGACTGTGGCAGCACACACAGGACCTGCACAGGTCTGGGCCCAATGGGGCCCCGGTGTTGAGAGTGGACACATGTCCCCATCCCTAATCAGAAGCTGTCTCCAATTGATAACCACTCGCAAATGGAAAACTAGTTTTCTCCAACAGAGTCTCACTGGAGATATAAACCAATTTTAAGGCCAGATCCCATGCCCACCAGTAGATTCCCAACACAAAATGAACTCAAGGATACTTTTGGGGGTTCGTTTGTCATAATGCTTTGCCTGGTCTTTTCCCCCTTACCCTACAGGTCTTTGCTTATATAATATGGTTTCTGATGTTGTATTGTTATACTTGTCTCTGCATCTATATGTATTTCTTGTGATTTTTCTTTTGCTCTTTGTTGTTTGTTTGCTTGTTTGCTTTATTCAAGTTGGTTATCTTGCTATTATTTTTTTCTTTTTGTTTTTGGGTCATTTCTTTCTTTTTTTCATAAGATTCCTGTTTGTTTTCTAAAGAGACAAAGCAAGAAAAGATGTGTATTTGAGTGCATAGGGAGATGGGGAAGATCTAGGAGAAATTGGGGGAGAGACAAGCATAACCAGGATATATTGTATGGAAAAAAGTTATTTTCAATAAAAAATGATTTAAAATTATATATAAAAGAATTTATTGTCCTTTCATGAAGAACAGCCTAAGGAAATGCAATCATTGTTGTTGAGGTTACCTGTGGAAGAGGAGAGAGAAGCAATAACAACAACAAGAAGAAAGCTACTTCCCCTTATTTCTGGTCCATGAGTAGCCCCAAGATGACCAAGTCTCTGTTACTGAACCAGCAAAGGTAGACAGACCTTGAAAATTAGCATCCAACACAAGTGGCCTCACTGTGGAAAACCAAACCATGCAAGGCTACTCACCATGATTAAAAATAGTCTACACTTAGGAATGACATTCAAGCAAAAAAAGACTTTCTTGTTTCTGCAGGGACAGGAACTCCAGCGGCTGTGTGCTTTAGTCAGATGAATGCAAGTTGGATGCAGGAGACAACTTTATCGGGGATGCTGCCTTTAGGATGACCAAGGAATCCCCTCCTCAGTAACACAGCTTTTGTTTCTCTTGAATAATCCTTAATAGACCATTTGAATAAATAGAGTATGTGGTCATTAAGAGTCATTCAGAATTGAACTAGTTATTTGTGGATCAGATTGGTGAACTATATTAACATAGAGGAGATGGTTGTAACAACAATAACAAAACAAAAATAATCTGCCTTTATATCATTTCACTGAAACTAATCAACCTAAAAATCATATCTCAACATGTATTTTTCTCCCAAGGATCTAGCAGTTTGCTGTTTAAAAAGGCTTTATGCTTACTTTTCCATATAAGAAGCTATGTTATGGCCCCTATTACTTGAGGAGAAAATAGAGACACAAAGCAAATGAACAGAAAGCTGCATTTCTGACTGCAGGAATTGGATGCCAGACCTTCTGACATGATAGTACTAACCTGCTATCAGGTCTGCTATGGCCCATGGTTCTGCCTGTGTCAGACCCTGCTCAGCTTCTGGACTGCAGAGTCTGGATTCAAGCAGAAAATTATAACTGGATAATAAAGGTCATTCATCTAAGGCATACATCCAAAGTCAGTGGTTCTCAACCTCCCTAAAGCTTTAACCATTTAATACAGTTCCTCGTGACATGGTGACCACCAACCATAAAATTATTTTTGTTGCTACTTTATAACTGTAATTTTGCTACTGTTATGAATTGTAATGTAAATATCTGTGTTCTGCCATAGTCTTAGGCAAACCTTATAAAAGGGTCATTCAATTCCTCAGAGGTCGCAACCCAAAAGTTAAAAACCACTGATTTAGGGTATGATCAACATCCTGTCCTACCTACACTAGTTTAAAACTTCCAAAATTGAGGGCTTTGTGGTGTTTTGGAGAAAGTTGTTCTTAAGTTCAGGGCCTTTGTTTTTCTTAAGGATATTCCAACTTCACCATTACTGTATTGGATGAGAAAACCCAGCCTTCATGTAGGGTATGAGATCCAGTGAATGAAAAAAAAAACTACAGTCCTATCGAGATGAAAGCATTTTGAGTAAAGAAGTCACCCTAACATAGTTTAGAGGAGTACTTACTAATAATTGTAAAGAAGATCTACCTCTATGTCCTTTGCTGAATGTGATACAGCCAGTAACTTAAGAGAATGGACGATTAATATCAGAAAACCAGAACACTGGTATGTTATCTAAGTGAACCATCAAATAGCCTCCCGCTGGGAAATACTGCTAAAATGAAATAACAAACATAGCTAAGAGGAATCACTTAAGTTCTGTGGTGAATAGGTAGAGTCTAGTCTGTGCTGCCTATAGCGTTTTTCTCTCCCCCTTGTGGCCACATATGAACATTACAGTTTCTGCCCTTCAAATACAACGTAAAAAGGTTCATCAAGGCAAACTCAGTCTCTTGCCCTAGTGTTAGTTAAAAAATAAATGTTCCCTTTTCCTGAAGCAAATTATTTTTCAATATTATTTTCATTTCCTGTCTCTAAAATTCTCCCAAATTAATATGCTTTAGTTGGAGGGAAACGTTCACAAATATTGTGCTAGAATGGATTTAAGATTTTAGGATGCAATAGCTTTGCCTTCACCAATTACATACATACACTAAGTCTAAATCACATCTTATTAATTTTACATATTCTAAAAATAAATAAATAAATAAAAATTAGAAATAACCCAAGAACCTTCTAAAGCTGATGTTGTATGTTTCTAGCTAGCAAGACATCTAAACTGCAAAGAATTATGTGCACGAAGCAAACATGGATTCTCTCACTTAAACATAATCTTCTAAAGAAAACGCTGACAGGTGAGCATGACTTTATAACTAATAGAAGTCACTCATTCAATATTTGAACAGACTTCTCCCATCCAATCCTCTGTGGGTGGGGGTCTCTGAGGGAGGTAAGAAGGTAGTTCAGTTCAACACAACTAAGTAGCTGGTGTTGTTTCAAACTTCAGGAGTCTGACCCCAAGTAGTTTATTTTAGGTATATTTGGTAAATTTGGTAAAATTAAATTTAGGCACAATTTGGTGAAAAATTTCCTAGTGATAAATAACTCAGTCCCATTGCACGCTAAAACTTAAGACACAACTACATCGAAAGTCTTTGTAAACTACATGTAACATCTTTTATAAAGATGGGTTCCACAGGTTGACTACATGTGATACCTTCCATAATAATTTGGTTCTGTAGATTGACAAGTTTACAATAAGCGTCTGGGGGAGGATCCTGTGTGGTCTCAGCCACACAGTGTAAGTGTCACCAGGCTATTAACCACTTCCATTTCCAGCCTTCTAGACAAAAGCAGGTTATACATCCCTCCCTTTGAAGGGACAACTTCTTTCACATTCCTGGTTCTCCTGGTCCTACCTGTGAGCACAGGGCCTCCTACATCTGGAGTATGCATAAATTTGTGACCTCTCACTGGAGAAAGGAAGTAACATGAAACCCAAGATCTCATAGAACCACAGTAAAGGCTACCTTTCTATTTGGCTCACCTCACATGAAAAAGGACACTTAGCCAGATAGAATCTCCTCTTGAGCAGAACAAGCAAAATAATTCTACTCTCAGAATAACGTTGAGTATGTGTTAGTCTGGTTTTTTTTTTCTTTTTTGCTATAACAAAATACTAGAGGCGGCTACTTGACAAAGGATAGTTGGCATTTGGCACACAGTTCTGGAGATGCAAAGTCAAAGTGCCAAATTGTGCAATGGCCTTCTTTCTGTCTAGGTGTACAGGACAAAAGACAAGGAATACACAGATTGTGTGTGTGTGTGTGTGTGTGTGTGTGTGTGTGTGTGTGTGTGTGTGTGTTCTCTTTCTCTCTTCCTTTAAAACTATTAAGTATCAATAATAGGGAGTTTATCTTAATAAATTATCTAATCCTAATCATTCCCCAAAGGTTCCATTTCTCAACACTAGTGTTAAGCTCCAATCCTTTTTAATCTTGTACAGTAGGTATTAATTTCAACACACAAAGCCTTAAAAACATTCAAATCATGTCCAAAGCAGAGCAAAGTCATATAAATTACTGAGTTATGACAGCTTCCTTTAGGCAAAGCTCTCGTAAGATTAAGTCAACATATTACAGAAACAATTGTATATCAGTGATTTTTGAAGCACTATTCACAAGAGCTAGGCAGTCTAACAACTGAGGAACAAATAAAGACAATGCAGTAGACATACACATGGGATTTATTTCAGCCATAAAAAGGAATGAAAATATGTCATTTGCAGAAAAATAGATGTAACTGGAGATGTTAAGCAAATTAGAAGCCAGACTCAAGAAGACAAACATAGCACGGTTTTGCTCATTTTTGGTTCCTAGGTTTTATATAGTTACATAAAATTATGCATGTATATAGAGCCTATCAGCTTGAGGGGAAAAGCAGGAAAGCGAAAGCACAAAACAGACAGAACTGTTTGACACTTTAATTTTAGTGTTGTGAAATACACTTGAAGAAGGAGAAAACGTACTTTTATGAATGTTGTCTTGGTTTCTACCCAGGTTATGCTCTTATAAGTAAGGCATCCAATAATGTTCCTTTTATCATAAAATATAACATGCTCACAAAAATATATTGAAAGTAAATATAAAACTTAAATGAAAATTTTGAAATGAATCACATTAGATTAGGAGATTATAACCAATAACCAGATACCACCACTACCACTCACTACTTCCCTTCAAGATATAGACCCTCCTGCCACCAGGTAGATCACTAACCATCAACTTTGTCAATGAACAAAGTTATAGTTTATTTTTAGTTCTGCCTAATAGTCCATAAATGCAGTACCTTTAGCTACTCTTTGTTATTGATAGGTATTTTATTGTTTCATTTAGGGACATTTTGCTGTTGTCTATGTGTAACAGTTCCTCTGATGTACACTATAAATAAAATTGATGTGTCACAAACACATAAACACACAAACCTTCAACTTTGATAAAGGCAAATTTAAGAGGAGTTGTACCCTTTTGGATATCTGAGTTTCCATTGCTCTGGGCTCATGAACAGAATCTCACTAGATACTCTTTAGCCAACGTGGTGGCTACATAGCAGTTTGTCATTGTTTTAGTTTGTTTGCTTGGCACCAAATGAGGCCAGTGTTTGAAGTGTGTTTTATGTGATCACTTAATTCTCATGGGCAGTTTTTATGCCCCATTTTAGGCATGATTGTGACCATTTCTGTGTTGCCAGGTGACTTGTGCTCTGTGCACATACCTACCACCTTTCTTAGACAGTCATTTAGTAAAGACAATTTCTTCTTAAATTTAATGTAATGAGTGAAATCAATATTTTCTGTACTCACATCAGGAGTGAAGGAAGACTATTTATCCAGATTTCTTTGTGAAATTTTATATTGGAAAATCAGTCATGGGCCTTATCCCTGGAAAAGACTAGTTCTCCCTCTCTCAGAAGTCATTAGTTGTCTATAGTATTGTCTAGGGTCAACCTCAAAACTATATACACATAAACCACCAAAGTAGACTCAGCAGGTTAAGATCCCCCTCTTCCCTCCTTCCAACCTCCAGCCTCTCCTTGCAACCCACCCCCTACTCCCCCTCACAAAATGGCAAAGCCTCCCTTGGGGAGGCACATCCAGTAGAGGCAAGTCCAAGCCTTTTCCCCTGCCTCAAGGCTGCACAAGGTGTCCCATCATAGGTAGTGGACTCCAAAAAGCCCCCTCGTGCACCAGGGATGAATTCTGATTCTACCACTAGGGGACACCCCAAGCAAATCAAACTACACAATTGTCTTGCCATGCAGAGGGCCTAGTCCAGTCCCATGCAGGCTCCACAGCCATTGATCCAACTTTCATGAGTTCCCACTAGTTTGGTGTGGTCATCTCTGCAGCTTTCCCCATTATGATCCTGGTGTACTTGCTCTCAGAATCCTCCTCTTTCTTTCTGACTGGACTCATGGAGCTCTGCCTGGTGTTTGGCTGTGGATCTCTGCATCTGACTCCATCAGTCATTGGAGAAAAGCTCTGTGATGACAGTTAGGGTATTCACTGATCACTGGGGCAAGCCAGTTCAGTTCAGGTACCCTCTCCACTATTTCTAGTAGTTGATGCTGGGGTCATCCTTGGAGATTCCTGGCAATTTCCCTAGCACAGGGTTTCTCTCTATTCCCATGATATCTCCCTCCATCACAGTATTTCTCTCATTGCTTTCCCACTCGATCTCTGTTCCAGTTTGACCATTCAATTCCCTTGTGTTCTCATCCCCTGTCCCCTACCCTCCATTGCCCACCCCTCACCCCAGTTCACTCATGGAGATCTCATCTATTTCTCATTCCCAGGGCAATCCATGCATCCCTCTTTGGGTCTTCCTTATTATCTAGCATCTCTGGAGTTGTGGGTTGTTGTCTGGTTATCTTTTGCTTTACTTCTAGTATCCACTTATGAGTGGGTACATACCATGTTTGTTCTTCCGAGTCTGGGTTACCTTACTCAGGATGATATGTTCTAGTTCCATCCATTTGCCTGCAAATTTCATGATGTCATT